TAACTTCATTTTTGATAAATAACAAAAATTACTTTTTTCAAAGCCTATTTAGTATGAAAACAAAAACTAAATTTCCTAAAATGTATTTCTGTGCTGGATGTATGATATAAAGAAAATCAGATGAACATATCTGTTCATTTCTTGTCTTGCTGCGCATTATTTGGTGGTTATTCAAGGAATGAATTCTCTATATATGAAGTTCTGCTGAAATAAAAGCAGATTAAGAGCACATTAATCAGACAACAGACAGAGGTCAGTGTTTTTATTCAAGCTGCACATTTTAGAAAAGCTGAATAAACAAATAATGGATTAGGGGCTTGTTTTGACAGGTGTTTCCTCTCAGTTTCCATCTAAACCTCACTGTGGACTTTATGACGGCCTGAGAATCCATAATGGCTGAGAGAGAAAAAAAAAACATTCGATCTGAGAGATTATTTCTCCTCTTGTGGCAAAAGAAGCATTCTCCAGTTCTGAGAGAGACCTCCACACTCTGAAGGGTTGAGTAAGCCATTTTCCATGAAAGGGGAACTGAGGCATCAGCATCTCACTGGGGATAGGAGATATTTAATGCAGCGTTTGGCCGACTAGTGTGACTGGCTGCTTTTGGGTGAAATCTTGAGCTGCTGGAATGCAGCAGGACTATATCGGAGCAGCTGTACAGCCCACAGGGGACAGATAATTCAAACCAGAGGACTCTGTTTTACATAAGCAGAGGCCTGTAGTTCTGCATGATGGTAGAAAACCTTCCCTGGAAACCTCGTTTCATCCGTAGGGCGAAACAGACGGCACTTTTTTTTAACACTGGTGGGCTTCCACAGGTAGCTTCATGAGGAGGCTGAATTTTAGCGATAGTAAAATTGTCTAGAACAGTGAAGAAATAGAAATAAAATAGTTTTCCCTCCTATTGAGACGCCTTGTCACTCCTTTTGATTCATGCATTTTCCTCACTGAACTCCTAAAACTAGATCTCTTTTAAAAAGCAGGCTTCTTGGCAAACTGTGCAGCAGGACTTTGGGACAGATTTAGGAGACCCAAAGCGGATCAGTCATAACTGTCCCATTAAATCTGCTGAGGAAGAGCCGAGCTGTGTTTGCGTTTTCACCTCTCCAACATCTGCTGCAGAGGTCGCGGGTCCGAAAAATATTCCAAGTTTTTCTATTTTTTTTTTCCCTCCAGAAGGAAGGGAAATAAGAACAGGAACTTGTCCGTGTGGAAAACTCATTTAGGGCAGATGATTATGCAGAGAAGTCCAAGCAGGTTCTGCTTGAGCTACAATGATGGTCGAATGTGAGGACCAGTGAAGCTCTGAACTTCTAACCAATAAAGGCTAAAGATCTAAAGGATTTGACTTTGGACCAGGGTTCCTACAGCATAAGGCAAATTAAATTCAACTTTTTAATGCCACTTGAATTACAAATTTAAGACCAAATTCACAAGAAACACAAGAAAAACCTGCTTGCAACAACTTAACCCAAAGGTTTATATTAGGGCTGCAACTAACGATTAT